TGTATTTTTAGTAGAGATAGGGTTTCACCATGTTGACCAGGATGGTCTCGATCTGTTGACCTCGTGATCCACCCGCCTCAGCCTCCCAAAGTGCTTGGATTACAGGCTTGAGCCACTGCGCCCGGCTAGAATTTGCTTTTCTCCTGTTATTTGGAGGAGATATTTTCATAGAGAGGTTCTCTTTTTTTCAGTATCTTGTCTGCTCAACAGAGGCTGACATAATGGGCAGAACCTGGGCCGCACCTGCCAGGTCAGAGGCACGCCTAGAGGAGTGAGGGTGGGGCCATTACCTCTTAGTTCCTTAGGGTCAGGGCCATAGACCTCCACTGATAAGGAGAGCTTGTCCTTTGTTTTGCTCTTTTTTAACAGATGTTAAATAGTCTAAGAAATCACAGAGAAGACTTCTGGCAACTGTATATTTCTGAACAGAGGGAAGTGAGACCATTTTGTGGCTTGCATTTTGGCATTTGCTTTCTGTTACCATATGTGTGCTGAAGAGTTCCAAATGTTTTTCTCCCTCTGAAATTCCTCTCCCAAGATCCAGACTTGTATTTCCAGCTGCCCAATCTTGACCTGCAGGCATTTCTAACATTTAATAGATCCAGAATGAAACTCATTTCAGCCCCCGAACTTGCTTTATCTCTGGCATTCTTGATTTCAGCTAATAACTTCTTCCCTGTATAATTGGGTTTTAAACAGCAGCATATACATTTTACATCATGATTTATTGTACATAAACACAAAGATGTAACTTGAACAAAAGTTTCATAAAACAATAGATATCTTTACATTTATGTTACCCTCTGATATCTTCTTTTAAATTTCATCTTTTGAAAAGTGCTGATGTCAACTTCCTTGATGAATTTTACTGTGATCTGCAATTTGAGTAAACCTCAGAGATAAAATGCAGTCTCCTTGGATATAGTATGTGGCCTCTGCTTCCCATCATGTAGCCCCATCTGCAGTGTAGCCACAGTGTTATCCAGACACACCATTCATTCATTAAATCATTCATTCATTCAGTCAGTCAGTCAGTCAACATTTACTGAGCACATATCTGGTGCCAGGCATGTGGTACACTAAGTATCCAGAGATCGACATCATCATCTCCACTCTGAGGACCACAGTCCAGTGGGGAGAGAGATGAGTAATCTAGCAATTACCAGGTAGTGATTAGATTCTATAATAGAAGCTTGCATAAAGCACTCAGACATCACAAAGAGGCAGCATATACCTTGGGCCAGAGAATCCAGAGGGTCTTTCAGGAAAAAGTGAACCATGAAGTGAAGCTACAAATGGAGGTAGGAGTTCAGCTGGTTAAATCAGGGCAGGGCGTTAGGGAAGAGGAATCCGCTGTAAGAAGACATGGGGGTTGAGCAGCATGTTAGCTTGGAGGGCTGAAAGTGATGTGACATAAGCCTCTCCTTATAACTGGATACTCTACTGTCACTCCCACCTTTTCTTTATTTGGCAACCAGTGACTCAGTGTTCCCTCTCCCAGTAAGCCACCCTCTCCTGGTAGCCTTTTTCCCTGCCCCTAGGGAGACTCAAGCCACCCTCCTTTGGGCTCTGACCTCACTATTCCACACCATCAACTTTGTTATATTGAAGGCCATTCATCATTGCCCCTGTTCATCTGCATCACTAGACCAGGAGCACCTCAAGGCAGAATCCAAGTCCCATCCTTACATCTTTGGTGAGGAATACAATAAGTGTTAGCCAAATAAAGAGATAAAACGACAAAGGAATGAGGAGATGGACAAGGCACGGGCACCGGTTTAGGTTAAGTCTACTTAAATGGACGTGTAGAAGACTTTTCAGTATATCATAGATGGAGAAGGGCTTCAGGTATCATAAACCTGCTTATTTACAGAGCTGGGAACCACATTTTAAATGTTGGTAGCACATCAGATGCAATTTTCTTTTTGTTTTATTTGCAAAAGATTATTTTTGACTTTTAGAAAATACTCTTTCTTCTAACTTAAATGTATCTTGGTAATGGAATTTGTTAGTGAATTAATGCAAATGAAAATCTGGCATCAGAGACCACAAACATAAAATCTCTTCAGTGCACATGTAGCCAATTATTGTCAACTATACATTAAACCCAAACTATTTTTTCCAAAATGGCTTTTACAGTAAGCAATATTAAATTTTAATTACTCTTTCCTTTGCCCACTTTGCATTTCCTGTGTAAATGGTTCAGGATTGTAGGCAGGACAGTTTGAGGTCTGGAATCTCAATAGTCAAGCCTATAACTGAAAAAAAAAAGTCTAATGTATTTTTCTTTTTCCTGGTAATTTTTATATGACCATAATATTTCATAACCACTTTGAAACAGAACACTGGATATGGATGAGGATAATGCCTGCAAAAAAGTTTTGCTAACGCAAGCATTGTAGAAACAGAGGCAGCCAGGAAAACAATTGTACTTTATTAGGAGCAAGAGAACAGGGCTCAGATTCTGGCTGGACTTCCACTGTTTATAAAACTTTCAGAGGCTCTATTTTCGTATGTGATAGATTGGCTGCGTTCAAGTTGTGATTGTGAGCTGACATTTTCTCCCTTTTGTTGCTAAAATTTAGTACTGTTGAACTCCTTTGTCCTTCATGCAAATTTTAATGAGAACAAAGTGGAGCATTTCCAGCTTAGCTGTATGTGCTGCCTGCAAACTTGATTGTCTCCTCTTGAAATAATGGTTGGGATTATTGAAAAGAAAGGGAGAAATGCCTTTTGCAGAGACACTGTTATCATAATCGTTTATGTCAGAGACAATGCTTTTGTCTCTTTTCTCATGTTACAACTCTTCCAGCCCTCTTGCCTGCCTCCTTCCCCCAGTCATCCAGCCCATCAATAATGTGATCTAGTTGGTGTAGCTCTGTCTATCGATGTTAGTATTAATTAGTGCTTAAAAAAGTAACCAAGTATGAGTCTTAAAAGAAGAATTTTTATTTTCTCATTTGCTGATGCTGGATTCATGTTTCAGCCAGGAACATAAATAAATGTATTCACCAGAGTAGGAGGCAGTGAGTTTGGCACTTATTATATATTTGCCACCCTTTGATGTCACTGCCATGTCACCCACTAGTAAATAGATATATGAACAATCTAAGCCCTGTATTACCTTATTGTCTAGTAGTGCCTGCACATCCTCAGATAAAGTGAATATGCTTCATTTCCTCTGTTGACGAAGAGTCAAACTCTGTAAGAGATTTATTCTGAGCCAAATATGAGTGACCAATGGCCCATGACAGAGCCCTCAGGAGATCTTGAGAACATGTGCCCAACATTGTCAGGCTGCAGCTGGGTTATATACATTTTAATGAGACATAAGACATCAGTCAATACATGTAAGATGTATATTGGTTTAGTCCAGAAAGGCAGGACAACTGGAAGTGGCAGCTTCCAAGTCATAGGTGGATTCCAGGATTTTCCGATTGGCAGTTGATTGAAAGAGTTATTATCTAAAGACCTGGAATCAATAGGAATGTGTGGATTACCAAAAGGGTAGAGACCACAGCTTTATCATGCAGATGAAGCCTCCAGGTAGCAGACTTCAGAGAGAATAGATTGTAAATGTTTCTTATCAGACTTACAGAGTCTGTTCTATCAGTCTTAAGCTCTGTGTTGATGTTACACTGGTCAGTGGTCCCTGAATTCCAAAAAGGAGGTGGGTATAATGAGGCATGTCTGGCTGCCTTTCCCATCATGGCCTGAACTAGTTTTTCAGGTTAACTTTGGAATGTCTTTGGCTGAGAGGAGGGATCTATTCAGATGGTTGAGGGGCTTATAATTTTATTCTTGGTTTACACCTCTCGTGATCTCTAGCGGTCCTTCACCTCTGCCAGTTTCCAGCTATATCTCTTGCCCATTCTAACCTGTTTGTCTATCCATGTTTATCCAATATAGTTTGAATGACAGCATCTGGCACTGACTTGCTTGAAAATAGAGTCCCTATGGAAAAAGTGGGCAGTCTAAATATTTCCACATGGCTGGAGCCTCCCTATCTGATCCAAATCAGTTTTCTGTGGGTTCTTTGAATAATAATCTGATACTGACATTGTTCTGTGTGCCAGGTAGCATTCTCCACACAATTGAGGTAGGTGGAATTAACACCCTCCAGTTTACAAATGAGGAAATTGAAATTCAGTGGGGCTACTTCTCTGCCCAAGCTTACATGGCTAGTAAGTAGGGGAGCAAAGATTTGAATTCAAGATGTCTTCAGAGTCTGGCCTTTCAACACTGAATTTCCCCTTTCTAGACTCTTAACCCTGAAACTCCATTCTCAATCAGCGATTTGCCATTATCATTGAGTATAAGAGCTATAGATCAAGGAACAGAATATTCAAATGGAGTGTCCAGTTACATGTGAAATGGAATTGCCCATTTCCTCAGATCAAAGATTGTAGTGATAGAAAAGTAGGTGGGGAAAGAAGATAGATGTACAGATAGAAAAAGGAAAACATGTAGGAAGAACAGTATTTTGGCAAGAGGAAACTGTAAATCACATAATATTGATTTTAACTGTAGTGAGAGAATTTGAGCATTCTAAGCTGTCAACCTGCCTCTTTGAAACATTATGATGCTCAGACAGAGGATGTGGGGTAGAAATGGCAGAATTGTTGGAACTGTTAAATGATGAAACGTGATACTGGAGTGAAAGACAAAAGCTCATGAAAGAATCATGAGGGACACATACAAACTTCATTCAGCAGCATGAAGATGACAGCTTATTGTTTGATTGCTTAGTTTGGACTTGATAAAATTATAGCAGATTTAACTTGTCTTACCACATTCAGCTTTATTTGTTATAACACAGATTCATCTTGGGTGGCTCTTTAGCCGGATTTGTTTTTACTGAAATAAAATCCCTGGCACATGATAATGGAAAAAAAATACCAGAGTTTGATAATATGTAGCGTACTACTTTTCTACACTTGAGAATTTTGAGTGCTTTGGAAATAATAAGGCTGTTTCCACAATTTCCTGTTCTCCACTAGGTTCTTGGAACGCCAAATGAGGACACATGGCCTGGAGTTCATTCTTTACCACATTTTAAGCCAGGTATGTTTCCTTAATTACAGATGACTAGGTGCTTCTTATATGCAAAAAGTGAGTATATAAATGTTCCCTCTCAAGCAATATACCACCTTAAAAAATTCTGGTTACTTTGCCATTGTGTGCTTTATTAATGGAATTGTCCTTTTGTTTTCACAAATTATTTGTCTGCGAAGACAGAGTTAATGACATCCGTGATAATTTTCCCCATATATACCTTGTTTGATTTGACTGCTTGATCTTGCAGTAACCATTAATTTCATCATTAGTTAGACTAGCATCCATGTCTGTTAAAACAAAATTTAAATTGGGGTGCTCCAATCCATCTGTGTCACTTTTTGTAGTAAGTAACCAGAAAAAGTATTGAATTGTAAAAAAGGAAACATCACATTTTTATTTTTTTTATAAAACTCATAAATATATGGTCTATAATTTGAAATTAAACATGTAAGATGTTCTGAGTGTCCTGTTGTACAGCATTCAATATGTTTTAATGTAAAATATTTAAACCTACACACTGAAAAATCTGTAAGAAATGTGAATTTTTAAAATAAGTTGTAGTTTTTTTTCACCAGTAGGTGGCAGGTGTGAAACTTTGTTTTAATCATTAATTTAACAGGCAAATCTCAAAGATAGTCTAATTTTATGAGAGGGGAAAGGTTCGGAATTGAAAATTTAATGAAATCAGTGGAATTAATTATTGTAAAATGATTATCTTGTTGGTGGTTGTTTTTTTCTTTTCTCAGTTATAAAACATGGTTTGCTAATGCAGACCCCACCATAAAATTACTGAAAGGGATTTTATAGAAGCTCTAATAATCTATTATACTAGAAGGGAAAAGAGCTATGAATAATATCTGTTAGAGAAGCCAAGAATATTCTTTTGCTTCTCTTCCCCTCTTTTGGGGAGCCATCAGGAATAAATTATCAGTTCCAAAGAATGACTGAGTTGGGAAACTATTTTTACTCTTAATATTTTTCTTCTGAAAGTGTACAGTGTGTTGAGAATTCTTTTATCTTCTTCAACTGCCCTTAAGACTCCTTGTACTTTTATTGTAAATTCTAAATGACTTCTATATTCTGAAAGACCATAGAAACCTAACAATTTTAAATGGACTGACTTTCTTTTTTGAGTAAGAAGAGGTGTCCTCTAACTGATCCAAGTGTTCCTAATGGAGTCTACATGAAAAACACAGTTCTTTGTACATGATCCAATTGTGGCCTCTTAAAGAAGGTTAAGTTTCCCATGTTAGGACCTAAAATTTTAAGTCCCAGGCAAATAAAACAAGAGAATTTGAAAAGATGTGAAATGAATAGAGTTAGATGCAGAAAGGAACAATTAAGATGAAATCATTTGGCATGCCTAGCTTCTGGACTAGAAAATGTAGAATAATTTATGTGTTTTGGTGGTAGTAGAATTTATCTTCATCAACAACATACAAAACCATTTATTAGTTGTATTTGGGAAGGTACTAGGATAGGTGTACATTAAGCTAATGGATTGTGAACTTTATGACACCAGGGACTGTTCATTGAACATATTTGGTGTTCAATAAATGTTTGTTTCACTGGAATATATTAAATGTTAAAACAGACATTATGTATGTGACTCCTCTGGTGGGCATATGTAAACTAGAATGTTTATGTTAAGTTATTAACATTATGTGTAAGCCCCACAACAGACACATAATACCTAGAAGGTAATGGGGAAACAGAAAAATAACATATGGAGAGGGTGGAAGGTATGGGTGCGATGAGCAAGAAGCTTATTCCAAGCAGAGCTTAGGGCTGTGAACCATAGCACATAAATATGATAAGTGTTTCCTGAGTTTGCTTGAGAGGAGTCAAAAGAAAACAAAACAATAGACTGAGTCAAAGGAAGCAAATCTCTGAGTCCTTCCAAGCAGCACTTACCAAATCATCCAGGGGAGCCCGTCCCTGACCTCACAGACCTCATCGTCCTGGGGAAGAAAATATATAATTCCAAATGAGGAAAATGTCAGTGCTAGAGTCTGCCTGTCCCAACCCTACTCTCCAGCTCCTTGATCTATCCCAAAGAATGCCCTAAAGAGTCTGGAAAAGATCATCTAAGACATAAGGACAAAGTTTGTTTAATTTTCTAATAATAAATTTAAGCAATCAAAAAGTCAAGCAATATGAAAAAGGAGCATAGTACAGAGCCTCCTCTCCTCTCCCAACTTCCCCAGAGCCACTGACCCCACCACAGGCCCCCAGTGTATTAGTTTCTTATGTTTATTCCCTTCATGTTAATGTAAAAATTAATATTAATTTTTACTTTTCTTATATTAAATACAATTCCACATCTTGTGTTTCTCATTAATGCATCTCATTGATCTTCTCATGTCACTGTGGGGAGGAGGCCAATGTGGCTTCCCTCTTGTCTCATAGAGCTGCATTGTTTTCTGGTGTATGGATTTAACGCATTCCCTAATCAGGGATAGTTGGGTTGTTGTTTCCATTGCTTTGCTATTATAAATATTAAGCATTGAGTAACTTTGTTCCTGTACATATACATATGCATTGCATATATGCAAGCATATTTGAAAAATAAATTAGGAGAAATAAGGTTAAAGAGCCAGTAAGTATAGACAATTATAATTTTGACCACTTTTGTCAAACTGTTTTCCAAAAGGGTGGTATCTGTTGTCTCTGTTGCCAACAATACAGGAGAATACTTCTTCCCACAGCTGCTTCTCCTCTCTATGCTGTGTGACCAAACTTTTGGATTTTGCCAGTCAGTTAGATGACAAAAGGAATTCCAGTAAAATTTTTATTTGCATGCCTCTTATTATGATGAGGTTGAGCATCTTTTGATATGTTTCAGAATCTTTTGCATTTTCTTTAATCTGAATTCTTTATATCTTTTGGCCAATTTTTAGTTGAGTTGTGTGTCTTTTTTTTTTTTAATCTATTTCTAGAGGTTCTTTATATTTTATTTTATTTTTAGTGATATTGCCCAGGTGGGAGTGCAGTGGTATGATTACAGCTCGCTGCAGCCTCAACCTTCCAGGTTCAAGTGATCCTCCCCACTCAGCCTCTCAGGTAGCTGGAACTAACTATAGATGCATACCACTATGCATGGCTAATTTTTTTTTTAAATCTTTTGTAGAGATGGAGGTCTTGCTATGTTGTCAGGGGTGGTCTTGAACTCCCGGGCTCAAGCAGTCCTCCCACCTCCACCTCCCAAAATTCTGGGATTACAGGCATAAGCTACCGTGCCCAGCTGAGTTCTTTATATTTAAGAGAAATTGTCCCTTTGTCCATGAAAAACTTTTGCTTCTTTGGGATTTGGAAAATGATCCTTTCTAATTTTTAAGCAATTTTGAAAATAATTCTTGTCTTTGTCTCTCATGTCTTCCTTGACTTGCCTAAGTTTTGCCTTGAGAAAAGCCCATGGTGTTTTTATAATAGTAGAGTTATGATTTTAATAAAATAGAGACAGAGTCTTGTCATTTTGGCCAGACTAGTCTTGAACTCTTGATGTCAAGCAATTCTCTCACCTTGGTCTCCCAAAGTGCTGGAATTACAGGCCATTGTGCCTGACCACAATTTTTTTAAAGACCAATTTCTGTTATAGGTATATATATATATATATATATATATATATATATATATATATATATATATATATGTAAGAAAAACCAGTTTGAGTTTTCAAGTAGATTACTTTACGGCTATGATCTAGGTCATGCAAAAATCTCTTGGTTTTAACTTATCCTAACCTAATTTCCTAGTAGTTATTTTTTAAATAACTTACTTTGATAGTTAATTTCTGTGAAATAAGTTGAATTCACTTATTATTTCAGCAGTATTTCCTGAGAACTACTTGTATGTCTATGGACTAGAGATGTTGCATTGAACAAAACACAAATTATAGTAAGTGAAATATATCGTATATTGGGTGGTGATGAGTACTATGGAGGAAATAGAGCAAGAAACTGGTTCAGGAATTTACAGTTTAAATAGGGTGGGAAAGTGGGTGATTCACAGTTTAAATAGGGTGATCAAGGAAGGCCTCCCTGAAAAGAAGACACTTGACTGAAGAAAATGAGAGACAGAGTCAATAGGATATTTGAGGGAAGAGCTCTTTAGACAGAGAGAAAAGCAAGCATCAATGCCCTGAATGGGAAGGAGTAGAGGGCTGAAAATGAAGTCACAGATCATGGAGGGCCTGAGGGCTACTCTGAGTCCTTCACCACAAATCTGAGTGAGACAGAAAGGTCTAGAAGATTTTGAAACAGGCAGCATGGGAGCTGGTTTATGTAAGGGTAGTAAGACTACCCCAGCTACTGTACTGAGAATTGGGGGTCAGAGCAGACTCAGGGAAACTTATTAAGAGCCTATGACAGGAGTCCAAGGAAGAGGCGATGAAATATACCATGAATAAAATGGCCTTCTCTTTTCAACTCCTCTGATTATCCAGAACTCAGCATCGTTTTCCCTTGGAAAAAAAGTATAACAAAACTGGAGAAACACTTTTAATATAATTATTGAAATAGTAAAAAACATTTAGTTTAAAACTGAGCTTTATTCCTCAGTATTTAACCTGTATCTCCTCAGCATATTCCCATAGCAACCAGGCAACTATAATAGGTCACAGCAGCATTATATATTATAAAGTGTGCATGTTACATACAATAAGGAGTCTGTGTTAGTCTCATTTGTGTTGCTATAAAGGAATACATGAGACTGGGTAATTTACAAAGAAAAGAGGATCTGTTGGCTCCAGGATCTGCAGGCTGTAAAAGAAGCATGACACCAGCATCTGCTTCTGGTGGGGTCCTCAAGAAGCTTACAGTTATAGCAGAAGGTAAAGGAGGAGCATATCACATGGTAAGAGAGGGAGCAAAAGAGAAGAGAGGACTTCTCTAAATTTAGTGTCAGAGGTGGAAGTAGATCCCAGGTCTCCCTGAGTCTTAGATGAGTGTACTTTTGTTTTTGTTTCTGTTTTCCAGCCTCCATTATGAAATAGCGTTCTACTGAAT